CCTGGGCTCAAGTGATCCTCCTGCCTCAGCCTCTCAAGTAGCTGGGATTACAAGCACCAGCCACCACACGCGGCTAATTTTTTCTATATTTAGTAGAGACAGGGTCTTGCTCTTGCTTAGGCTGGTCTCGAACTCCTGAGCTCAAGTGATCCTCCCTTCTTGGCCTCCCAGCGTGCTAGGATTACAGGTGTGAGCCACCTCACCCAGTCTTAAGGAATCCATCTTCCCATCAGCCTGCTACTGTCAATTAGCCTCAGAATGTGATCTCTAGTTAGCTGAATGCTACTGACAGCCTCTGGTTGCTGGATACAAGCCAGTCAGTGCTGGACGACTCAGCCAGAAATGACGCACTTGGCTAGTTGCCCCCGAGCCTGGTTTCTGGCAGAGGCTGAGTAGCTGATTGAGAATTGTGGCTGCCCTGGGTGCTTGACCAGAGATTCCTGGCATCGGTAGAGGAAAACCTGTGCTCTTTTTTCCCAATACCAGGTGGGGGTGGAAATGCAAGTAGCTGCCTCAGAAATAGTTTCAGGTCCTCACCATCTGGTGAGGCCTCTGAGACCATAAAATAGAAAATGCCAGCTGGGGCTGTGCTAATTCGGTACAGCCCGGGTGAGGAAGAAGAGTTCCTGGACGTGACCATCTGGTCTCAGATTGGAGGTAGCTGTCATTTATTAAGCGCTTACTGTGCACTAGGCACTGTACCGGGTGCTTTCTGGCTACTCTCCTGTAAGTCTCTTGCAAAAACCTAAGAAGGATTATTACCCCATCTTACAGATAAGGAAACTGAGCTCAGAGAGGTTAACCACCCAAGGTCACACAGTAAATGATGAGCGAGGACTTGACAACTTGTCTGCCTGAATCCTATGCTCCCTCCAGGGGTCGTGATGTGGCAACTCACAGGCTGCTTACATCTTATATTTGTCACACACTGCCACCTTGTCTTGGGAAAAGGAGCAGCTTAGTACCAACTGCCTCATGCTTGACCCTCTACGCACAGTTATTATCCGCCTGCTCCCTACAGACATTTGGGGTCCCTGGACTCAGTGCTGCATGGGATGTGATAATACCCCGTCTGCTGTGCTGGAGGTCACCAGGATGAGGTGTCTGAGATAACAGGTGTGTCTGCCCTCCTTCCCTTTGCATTTAGCTTTCACCATCAACAGCATCCACATGAGGAGCCTGCCCGACTGGACAGTGCAAAACGGGCAGAACCTGACCCTGCAGTGCGTCGTGGATGTCAGCACCACCTCACACGTCACGCCCCAGCACCTGGTGCTGTTCTATAAGGACGATGTGCTGTTTCACAACGTCTCCTCCATGGAGAGCACGGAGAGTTTTTTTATTCCCCAAGCCCGGGTCTATGACTCGGGGACTTACAAATGCACTGTGATTCTGAACAACAAGGAGAAAACCTCTCAAGAGTACCAGGTGTCGGTGAAAGGTGAGTCATTGGAATTGAGCAAAGGCAAGCAGATGAAGCAGCACGCACAGCGGCGTGAATAATAACTAATGAATGACAGCACTGCACTTCCCCTCCGCCCACCACCCTCTCACTCATCCCCTTGGCATTTTCCTAACCTGAAAATGCAGGCGTTTGACGCGTTCCCAGGAAGCCAGGCTGTTTCTAACCACCCTGCCTTTGCACGTTCTGTTCCCTCTCCCAGGAACACCATCCTTATCTCATCTTCTTCAAGACTCAATTCAATGATTTCTTCTCTGACACTTTCTAGAACAAAACTGATCTCCTCCAGGGTACCAGTCCTTGCAGCTCTTAGGCTTTCTCCACATTCCATGGTATCCGTGGCTATAAAGGCCACAGGGATGTCTGTGTTGAGATACTGGATTCTGCAGTCACTCTGCCTGGGTTCCAATGTGGGCAAGTGCCTTCACCGCTCTAAACTTCCAAATCCTCATCAGTAAAATGAAGATAATACTGCCCAGTTCAGGAAGTTACTGAGAGGCTTAGAGGTATCATGTAGGTAGAAAGCTTAGCATTATTTCTAACTCCCAGTAAATGGCAGTTTGCTATTTCACTCCACGTTGCAACTATTTCTCACACATCTGTCTGTTCTGGACTACAAAATCGTGAGAAGAGAGGTGGGTGTTTGGTTTACTTTTATATCCCAAACAAAGAATCTGGCTCATAGTAGCTACTCAATAAGTGTTTATGGACTAAAGTCAATCCTAGCTTGTGGTTGGCATTCAATCAATTATAACAACAATCACAGTAATATCCGTAAATACTGGCTGCTTTTTCTCCTTTAAAGTGTATTAGTTGAGAATTGTATCGTCTTCCCAATGGGATTATAAACTATTGAAAGTACCAACCCCATGTTTGGCATGTTTTATATTTTTCAAAGTACCTGGTACTGTGCTGGGCACACACATGCTCAGTAATTGCCTGATAGGTAGCACCGGGTATTCAGGGAACAAAAAGTCAAACACAATGACTCAGCTGAGGGAGGCTTGTGCTGCTAGATGAAACTGGTACTAATGGACTTTCTCTTTCCCCAAAGGAGTGCCCAATCCCAGGGTGACGCTGGACAAAAGGGAGGCCATAGAAGGCGGGGTCGTGATGGTCAATTGTTCTGTCCTGGAGGAAAAGGCCCCAATACATTTCACAATTGAAAAACTTGAACTAGATACAAAAATTGTCAAGCACAGAAGAGAGAAGACTTCTCGGGACCAGAATTTTGTGATGCTGGAATTTCCCGTTGAGGAACAGGACCATGTTTTAATATTCCGATGTCAAGCGAGGATCATTTCTGGGATCCACATGGAGATCTCAGAATCCACCAGGAGTGAACTGGTCACCGTGAGGGGTCAGAGCCCTGCTCCCCTTCTCTTCATTCTTTGTGGTTTCTGGTGTGGTGTGGGGAGAAAGCCCAGAGCTGGAAGGGGGCTGGGCCTTCGGGCTGGGCTGCTGTTCTCAGGACTTAAGACCTGTTCTTTTATCACTTTAAGTCAGTATTTTTCAAGATTTTTTTGACCATGAAACAGTTAAAATATATATAATTTACCAAACAAAAGTTTCACCAACAGTTCTTA